GTGGAGGGGGATGGCAGCGCCAGGGAGCCTGCCGGGAACAAAGGAGGGCGCTTCCTCCAGCCCTTTGTCATCCCTGCGCTGCCCCCATCTCGCCAGCCCTTTCCGCGGAGGGATACTGCGATGGAGACAAAGCTGGCGTGTCGCAGGCTGAGACAGGGGTGCCTTTGCTGCGTGGCCAGTAGTTCAGCTGGTACGGGGAAAAGAGTGGAACGGCACTTGCTGCTCGCCCTACCTTAGAGAATGAGGGTAGAGCCGGGATCTCAGTGGATAACGCTCATCCAGGCGTTGGACACAAGGGATGTGCCAGTACGCAAGAGCAAAGGCGGTACACGTCTGCCCTCAAGGGACGGCGATCCCGAAGGTTCTGTGAGAGGGCAGAGCAATAAATCGAATGTTTAATGTAACAGGAAAGTGTTAGAGTGATTTTTGAGTCTTCACTGTGTGCCCTTAAAGCCAAGTGAACCGGGCAGGAAATGGCAGAACCGCAGCAATATGCAAACCACTTAAAAAAGCAAATTGTGCTTAAGAGGAGTGGAAGATCTTTAGCTGGAGGCAAACTCGGTTCTGATGTGAGGGGCAAAGCAAGAGGATTCATTGCTTCTGCTAATTACTCTGGCTATTTCCTAGGTTCTGGATGTAGGAAATATGAATGACTGGCAGAGGAAGAGCCCTCTAGACTGGGAAACGTATGTGAACAAAATGGTGAAAGTTGCTGCACTTGAGAAACATGAATATAAAGGATGGGTCTTAACAATTGATCCAGTTTCTGCCAGGTAAGTACCAACAAGTTTTTTAGGAACATAAAAGATCCCAAGACTGAAGCAAACTTATTTGGGGCAAAACCTGCATGTTGAGGCTGTGTCCTGTTTTTTTAATTGGCAAGGCGCAAGTCATAAGAGAAAGCAATATTGTAGTCGATGAGGCCAGCTCACCTAAATCCACTTTAATCTCATTCAAAGGACTGGTAAGTTTGGGGAATAGATAATACCTGGATTCATGCTGACTTTATTATGGGCCTGAGATTAGTACTTCAAATGATATCCATATGTTTAGGACTACTTTGAATAATACACCACGCCATGCTTCCCAGAGAGAGCA